TCCCAACGAGCTGCCACCTGCTTATGCGGATGATCTCGGCTGCTGGGAGGGGTACAAGCGCAATCCACACCGCTTGTGCTTGTTTTTTTCCTTGCTCTTTTGGAGCATGCTGATTTTGAAAATCGCGGCGGAGGCAGGTGCTCCTGGCCTCGGAGATGTGCGCCAGCCCTGGTTCTGGGCCATTGTGGCCGTCACCTACATCATCTACTTGATTGAGGTCGGATGCTCCAACCACGGTTCCTACGTGCGGAACAAGCTGACGCCTGCTGCTGTCCAAGCACACGTCGCCCGCACGCATCGCACACCGCCCACGATTCAATTTTCCATTCAAGTAAGGCCGCGTGCTCAAGCATAGATACATCGATTGGGCGTTGCTTGCTGCTTGCGGCCAGCTTCTTGCCATCAAGCATCCCCGCTAATGTGGCTGCACTCTGGCTGGGACGGCCTAGAACTATCATTATCGGACCGTTACAAAATCGCGTACCAACTCACAAGGCCAACGAGAGACCTACACGGAGCGCCGTATGTCCGATCTTTGACGTGGAAAACTGGCTTTGCTAAGGCATCTGGCTTGTTCTCACACACGCATGCGCGATATTGATCTTTGCTTGAGTAGAGCGTGTCAATACCCACTTTGCCAGCATGACGTACGCCATTGGACGCTGGCAAGATACAAGCTGTGACTTTGTCAATACCAGGTGGGTGTAGCGTACCATCCGCTTGTCTCCAGCACTGCTCAAGGCATTTTTTCCTCATCATGATCCTTTGGGGGTGCATACCTGCATATCGACTCCACCCGGCGCGCAGCTACGATCTCACGCAGGTCCATATGAGTCTCAACGTCAATTTTCAGCCACAGGCCCTGCAACGTTACAATGCCACCAAGAATCACTTTATCCGAAGCAATCACAGGTGGGCATGGTTGAATGACATGCGGCTGGCTGTTGAGGACTGGCTGTTGGGATTGGCTGTTTGAGGATTTCATTTGTCACACTACCGCTGTGACGGCCTGTGTCAGGGATATTCACTACGATTTCCACGAGCCCAAGACGGTGGCGGGTTGGATTTCTCGCTGTCTTTGTGTTCGAGAGACGGCCGAGATGCCCTGCTCGGGCAATCACAGTGTCTACTGGTTGTTCTCGCTCGTGGGTTTATCCTTCCCCGTGCGGGTTCACTTTTCCAGCTTTACCGGCAAATATCGGTGAGTTTCAGCGCGTTTCGGCTACATTGCTTGTGTTTCCGTGCTTGTGCCCTCACATCACGCCCGCCCCTCTTTTTTGACTTGGTTAACTCCATGGTTCAAGCTATGTGTTTTCCAAGATGCTGCTCGACTGAGTCGAATCGAATGGCGCGCCCAATCAGGCCATAGCCTGGTTGATTTCTCATTTTGCATTCTTATTACCCGCGTATCAGTATCTTGATGACCCTGGTACCCTAAATTCACACGATCTATCCTATTTATCTGATGCCATACGGCGGGACGGCGGGGGTCAAGTTCTGAGAGTGTTGCAGCACCGACCAAAGGAGAAAAAGGGGAAAAAAGATTAAAAAAAAATCAAAAAAATTCATTTTCTCTCTCTTCGTTGAGACCCCCCCCCCCCCCCCCCCCCCAAAAAAAAAAAAAAGAGACGGAGCAGGATGGTGTTTGGACGGTTAAGGCTGATCGGGGCGACGGCAGTGGCCGCTGCTGGTGCGGTGTATGCCACGACGCGTCCGCAAGAGCCTGTGCGGCGTGTGAGCATTGGCCCGCTGCCCAAGCTGCCCAGCCGCGAGCAACAGGTTCGTGTGACCGCACCTGATTTTGCCACACGGCGGTGGGCCCGCTGGACCTTTTTGTGGACCGCTGCGGGCCTGTGATGGGTGCAGATGCATCATGCTCGTTGCTTTTGATAACCGGGCGCCTGTTGAGTCAAAGCTGCAGCCAGGGGACGATCATCGATCTTCTAAGGCTGACCCATGTCTCCTCCTCTCATCCTTTAATCGGGCACGTGTGCTGTGAACCTTGTTTGTAAATTTCTGTCTGGAACTTTGGTATAGCTGGAGCAGCTAGACACGGAGGAGTTTGATGTTGTGGTCATTGGTGGTGGTGCCACCGGCTGTGGTACGAGCGTTCAGTTCCTCTGCCGACTGACATCCTCTCGTCCTTTTCCCTCATGCTCCGTTTTGTCGCTCGCTCGCACATGCCCTTCGTTCCTCACCTCCTGTCACTGTGCCACCACCCTCTGCGCATCATCCTGGCTCTGCTTGCATCCCACGTTGTCGCTCTATTCGACTGGCCCTGTCGACTGACCCCTCTGGTCATTAGGCGTCGCCCTCGATGCCACCACACGCGGTTCGTCTTGAGCGCCTTCTCTCTCTCTCGCGTGTCTCTTTTGCACCTGTTGTTTGTTGTGCTTTCGCATCCCTCTCTTTATCTCTGTCCCTTGCATCTTTTGGCTCCCTATGTCTGGCCGTCGCTCGGTCTCTCGCTCCCACAAGTCACTGCCTTGCGTCCCTTGCCCCGCGGGCCGCCCTTTCGTTCCCCTGTGTTGTTGGTGTTGTTGCGTTCACTTCATCTTCTTCTTCTTCGTTTTCCACTTCCCATCATCTTGTGTGATTTTTTTTCGTTTCGATTTTCGATTTTTTATTTTTTCTTGTTTCAATGCTTTCCTTCTTTTATGTGGTTTGTAAGCAGTGTAAAGGGGTTCGAATGGGTCTTTTGCGCATGGCTCCTTTATGGAAGTCACCCATGATATTCCCTATGGTCTCGTGACACGTGTGTGTGTGTGTGTGTGAATGTGTGTGCAGCGGCCAAGCGCCATGCTGATTGCCGGTGGGTGCCCGCTACCGCAGCCGAGTCAATGACCTCACTTTTATACGCCGCTGCCATGCCTGGCTAAACATAGGTTTGAAGGTGGCGCTCCTGGAGCGTGAGGATTATGCCGCCGGCACTTCCAGCCGAAGCACCAAGCTGATTCATGGCGGTGTTCGCTATCTGGAAAAGGCCTTCAAAGAACTGGACCGTGAACAGGTGATTTCAAGTCCTTTTGATCCACCGAGCCCTCATCCCGTCGTCTCGTCTCAGCACCTACCGCTAGTCCTCTTTTGATTGTATACAAATGGACCCATTTGCGTTGCCCATTTGCGTTGCTCCTTCCCTCAGCTGTCCTTCCCTTGGCTTTCCCTTTTTGGCCGTTCTCGACTTTCCTCCTCTTGTTTGCATCACCTGACCTCCCTTGCTCGCTCAGCACATTCACCTGGCGCGCCCTGTCCACCTTTTTCCTTTAGCTTGATCTGGTTGTGGAAGCTCTCCGTGAGCGTGAAACACTCCTTCGCATCGCACCTCATGTGGCCGACGAGCTTCCCATCATGGTGGCCCTCTACAAGTGCGTCTTCTGCTCTCGCTCGTCTGAATACCCCTTCATTTGGCCCCTTGCGCACGACTCACCCGCGCCTTTACCCCCTTCGCATCCCGCCTGCTGTCTATTCAGGTGGTGGGAGGTGCCTTACATGTACGTCGGTCTCAAGATGTACGACCTCCTGGCCTGGTACTTTCGTCGCCCAACAGACCCTGGTATGAGCCGCAATCCATGCATATATGCCTCAGCGTTTGTCAATCACAGAGAGAAGGCCATTTCCACTTTTCTTGATTGTCGCCAATGATTTGTTGATACTGGCATCGGTGCATTTATTTTCCAGGCGTGTCGGGCACCAAGCTGTTCAACCGACGAGAAACGATCGATGCCTTTCCTCAAATCAATGCCGATGGTCTGAAAGCCAGTCTGATCTACCATGACGGTTTGTGCGCGCCAATCGCCGCTCAAGGCATTCCGAAATCATTCTGCTAGCTTCCAATCCTCTCGAGGTCTCGACGTTCTGTCTCATCTTCGTGCGGATCATGCCACCATGCACAGGCCAACACGACGATGCAGCTATGACGCTGGCCGTGGCCATGACGGCTGCTGAGCGTGGTGCCCTTACCATCAACCACGTTGCAGTCAGTACCACTGGGCAGCCGAAAAGACCCCTAACGTTGTGCCTGTGTGCTCTCATCAAGTTTTGGATTGGCCCTCGTTGCGTGACAGGTCAACAACATCACCAAGGATGAAG